AGATAACGCGCGCGTTGTCTATGGGATAATACGGTAATAAAGTATAACGTAATTAACATAAATGATATAACTTACCATTACAAAACTGCCAACCTGTTCCCTTGGTCATAGATGTCAATTAAGTATTGAATATTATCTATTTATTAGAAATAGTTTACATTTTTACAAAACTAAGTTCTTATAATTAAGTAATTGATTTATTAACGTTGATAAAACATAATTCAAATATCAAATTGTTTATGTAATATTGTGTTACTATATTAATAATAAGTAGAATATAAATAACACAGAAGAAAAAGTACAATAAACGTCCGTTTATATCCCGTTTAAAATTTGAATTACATATTTAGTCATTATATATGTGAAATTAAATTTGAGAATACAGTTTGTATTAAAAATTTACTATTAAATATTTAATTAATTATTAAACAAACATTTTAAATGACTATGATACATGATACTTTAAATAAAGACTCTAAATAACAACACATTTTACAATTTAATATTACTCAACGAGAATTAGAATGTTGTGTTATAAAATGTGACAACATGTTATTTACCCTCAAACTAATGCTTTATTCGTAGCAATTAATGTAATGAGTTATTAATTTATTTAAGATAACAATTTAGTTAATGTTAGTGCAAATGTCAATAGAATGATATTAACATAAATAAAAAAACTGCTATTACCACACTTGGTTTGATTAGCCGTATAGGGATATGCTTTGCAGACATTTTCATTGTTATGTGTCTTTGATTTCTCGATAAGTGCTTTCATTGTTTCATAGTTTAAAGTTTTGCCATCTTTAATTTGACCTTTACACGTTTTCTAAAAAATTTATAATTTAAAAAGTCATAAATCAATGCAATATACAATATGTAATAAAATAGTTATTGAACAAGTCCATTAATTATTAATAGTATTAATCATGGTAATAACATTAAATTTAGTTAATTAATTAAAATAACGTACCGGGCCGATTTTATTGGCGCAATCATATAGGACACCAATGAGGCAGCAATCTTTTTCATCGCTCGAAGTCATATCCAGATTTGTTAAATCAATTCCGGTAGCATTTTTAATACATGAATTTATATCTGCGCTAATCTCCACATAACACGGATCACTAAACAATGCCACATCTGGATTAGTATCGGGATTGTCTGCAGTGGCCACAAACACTGTATTAATTATTATAAAAAATGTTAAACTCAATAATTTTAGCTTAAACATTTTAACTTGTAATATACTGCTTATAATGTAAGAAAAATAATCTTCTATGTTAAAGATTTGAGCTTTTAGATTTTAATTTTTGGTTTAATATTTATACTAATTAGTTCGAGCTATTTTAACCTACTGCAGTTTTTTAATATTACCACTTTGCACCGCAACAATTAACACTTGAGAACTTGTGCTACTGTATTACAATTATATTGGTAAATAATTATTAAACTCTAATGACCAAGTACTAATTAGTGAAGTATTTATTAATTAACGATGATCAATTGCAATTATTATCATTTTAATAAGAATTACAAAAACAAGTTGCATTTTATTTTGATAAGTAATTTTGTTGAGATCATTTTTATTATAATCTATAAAAAATAAACTAATGACCTTTTTGGTTTTCTAAATCGTATTTTATTTAATATAATCGTTACTAAACGTTAAATTAAATTTATTATCCTATTTCTATGTTAAATTTAACATGTTTTGTAAAATTAACTATTAATTCACTAGTAAAATTAATAATGCTATAAATTAATATTTCTATTATTATTCTATTATATATAATACTAATACAATTAATTAATACTATTAACATTTAATACTGTTATTTAAGTTTAATATTTTATTCATATACAGTAGCTTAAATAACAAAAGTCCTTAAAAATAGTGTACAGTATTATTCTATGACATATTAATTTCATACATCTTTATCTCATTTGTACGAGATTTATATTTAAACATTAATTTATAATTAACACCTGATTGTATAGTGAAGTATTTGATTGCACGCTAATTGTTTAATATTTAATAACAGATTATTGATTTATTATTTTTAAAAGGTCACTTGTTACAAAAATTTCTTAAAATAATATTGTATAACTTAATTCATTACAATTAACTCAACAAACTTTATTTAATTTATTTAAAATAATAATGTTTTCATTGCTAATGTACCAATGAGCAGAATAATATTAGCATAAATAACCAAGCTAGTGCTGCATTGTGTTAGGTTAGCTTTATAGGGATGATCTTTGCATTCATGTCCATTGAATCTGTTTATAGATTGATCGAGTAGTTTTTTCATATCTGAATAATTTAGAGTTCTGTCATCCTGGGCAGTTTGATCCTTGCACGTATTCTAATAAATATATCATTTGAAAAGTTATAGACAAAAAATCATCTTGTTAAAACATGTGTAAAACAAATTATTTTAATATTAAATACAATCAATTCTCCATTAAATAATATTAGTATTAAGTATTACAATAAAAACCTACCTGACCAATTCTACTGGCGCAATCATATAAGACAGACATAGCGCAGCAAAAATTGGTTATATCTCCATTAGGTTTAGTAGTAGCCAAGTCAATACCAACTGCTGCTTTAATACATGTGGTGACATTTGCGCTAATGTTCATATAACATGGATCACCATTCAACATTATATAAGGTCCGATACCCGGATCGGGTGTAGGGGTAGCCCCAAACGCTGTATTAATTACTATGTACATTATAAATCCAAACAATTCTAGCCTAAACATTTCAACTAGCTGTCGTAGTTGCAATATAAGATGGTCAAAATAAAATTTGAAATTTTCAATTTATTTTACTTCATATATACAGGTTATAATTTGTGGTTCTAGATTTATATTAATTAGCTCGTGCTATTTCAATCCATCAACATTTATTAAATTACCACTTTGAACTGAAATAATTGGCACATGAGCATTGATGCTATTCTACTTGTATTGTTAAATAATAATATAATATAAAGTATTTATTATTAATTACTTGATTAAAATCATTATCATAGTAATAAGAAATACAAAACAATGTGTTATTGATAGAAAATTTTTGTGATGACTTCTAGGAAGGTGCTTTAAAAAATTACAATTGCTTTTTAATATATCGCGTTCAATAAATTATTATTTTTATCTAGTACAGTATAAGATGAACTTCTGTATTTCAGAAAGTAGCAATCATAATTATATTGTACTTTAAAAGCATGTATAAGTTAATACCATTTATCAGGTTCAAACAAACTTATTAAATTTATATTAGGTCATTAATTTACACTTAACACATTTACTGATTGTATTGCAATATTTGATTTCAAACTAATTGTTGAAATTATGTCGAAATGTCAAATTAGTATCATGAAACAATTGATGATCAAATAGCATATTGGTATAGATATGTATTAGAATGACTATTAATCCCTGTAGATAAAATTAGGCAATTTGTTTTTGTGTTTAAAAGTTAATTATTAAGTCAATATTTTTAGGCTTCAGAAACCAAGTACTGTATTTTTAAAATCTAATAATTAGTTAGTTATTAGATGTTAAAGCCATTATTATTTTTTATTGTAAATTACAACTCCCTTAATACATTTTCAATAAATAAATTAATTTTTAACTAAATTTTTTGATAAAGAAATTTTTCGTAAAAATGTAAAAAATGACGGAAAAGTGATAGGCTCGGCTTAACCGGGCCCACTTTGGCCGGCATTTGAGTCGACCAATCGACCGTCCAAATATTGGTATTGTCGTATATAGAAAAGTGTTGTCCGGTCCCCTTTAGTATGTACCTCTGATTCAATTATTATAATAATTACAACTATTTTTTATACTGCTTACAGTTTGTTTTTCGTGTATTGTGTAATGTTAGTTCACATTATATTTATTATATTGAATAAAAATACACTTTTAGATTATTAAATATACATTTTAATTAATAATTAAATGTTTAAAAAATATAAAATTAATAATTAAACAAATTTCTCTTCTTATTCTCCCATTAAAATAATAATTACAACTTTGGTTATACTGCATACGATATTTGTTTTTTAGATTACAGTTTGTTTTCGTAAATGTGTTATTAAAAATTGCTCAATTAATTAATTGCATTTTTATAATCTAAAAATATTTATTAAAAAATTGTAAATTAAAAATTACATTAATTTTATTAGACATTAGTAAAAAAAATTACATTTAAAATACAATTAATAAATTAATCCGTAATTGTACCATGAACGGTTCCACAAAACACGGTCACTTTATCACCAAGAAGTCTGGCTATAATATCGCCCTCAATGGGTGTAGGGGTGGAGACGGGAATTGTGAGTTTGGTGGTAAACATGTTGGTCACCCCTTTTCTGATAGGACAGGGAGTGTCGTGACAGCCGTCGGAATCAAATTTGGGTATCAGTCGACCCAAATCCCTCTCAAGTCCGCCAACTATTGCGTGCAATTCCCACGTGGTATGAATGCTGTTGGCACCTGTTTAGATATTAACATAGATAGTTTAGATTTAATTATAATTTACTTAATACATGTAAATTTATATCATTTACAATTACGAGTTTTTAAGTAATTGTATTGTAAATAAATAATAGGTTAATTCTAAATGTACAACATCTTAATGAGCTCTCCATTTATATAAACACATTATAATATATTTAATTTAATTTTAATTTAATTTAATTTAAATATGATCATTCTAGATTTCTATAGTTTTATACAACTCACTGGCGGTGTAGTTAATATTAATGGTAATCTCATTTCCCTTGTGGAGAGTACAGGGACTGGTTGTACAGCCACTAACCTCAACACTTCTTAGTTCAGATTGACCTAGATTTAAAACAAAGATTAATTAGTATTTAAATTAATATTTAAATAATATTTTAATATCTAGATAATATTTTAATAATAATAATTAAATAAAATAGTTACCACAGTCTTTGAAGGGAATACCAGCCGTGACAGTGGCGATGAATAGTGTTAAACAAAAAGTGATCAACATGGTTGTTACTTATTAGTAGTAAGTTATTACTATTAATAGTAATAAGTTATTACTGTTACTAACTTATAAGTATAACTAAAGTAAAATATTAATAATTAAATAATATGAAATTATAATTGCTATGATATTAATATTTATACCGGAGAGAATTCATTTAACATAACAACAAATGTTATTTTCCCATAGGTTTTTGAGATAAATTTTGAATTTGTTTGCATAACTATTAGAAAATATTTATTTAATTAAGATTACTATCATTTTATTTCTAATTTAATAGTTATACAATTATTGTATAACTCTATAATTTAATTGTTTTTTTATTAAAAGTGAAATATATTCCTTAATCTGTTTTCTAGTTTGGGTTTCTAGATACATGTAAAGTTTTTGTAAATTTTATGTTTGCACAACAACCAGACACGATAGAAACTTAACATTGCATTATTCCACTTTGTAGCAGTTTACACTTTTAATTTAGACTTTTACATACTTCTAAAAATTTATTTAGAAATAACTAATAAATGTGTTTAAAATAATAAAATTTATATAAATTAAATGGTAAATTATGTTAAATATTTTAAGTGTTTTTTACTTATATTATAGTTAAAATATTTTAAAATACTATTATTATGTTTAGTAAGATCAAATTTAATGCTTAGAACTTTATTATTAAAACAGTTAATACTAGTTAAAATTATAAAACAGATTTGTAACAATTATTTAATTAGGATAACAATTTAGCTAATAGCATAAAATAAAACATTATTACATTGATATATACCACGTGTGAATTATTACATTGTTTTTGATTGGTTTTATAAGGAAACTCTTTACAAGCATTTGCATTAAATTTATCCCTTGTTTTATCCAAAATTATTTTCATAGTATCATATTTTTCGGTTTCATCTTGGCAATTTTTCTATTAACAATAGAATTTAATAATATATTATTAAATAATACAATTGAAATTACATTAAAATTGCTAAATATTTCACATGATAAATTAAGTAAAAATATAATTATCATAGATTAAATTAATTTATCATATTACCTGGCCGAATGTAACAGTGCAATCATAGAAAACTGATCTAGCGCAGCATTGATTTTCAATGTCACTAATGCCAACATCTGTATTAATGTTTGTCAAATTGAACCCTGGTACAATTGCCTTAACACACATCTCTTCATCTTTGGTGATTTTCTTAAAACAATTATCATTTATCAAGTCTACAACCGGATCAGTTGGTATAGTAGTTTTGCATTCAGTTTGACCCTGTTTATACGGGTGCTCTTTGCACATATCTAGATTCATATACTCTATGCCCTTTTGTATAATAACTTTTGTTGCTATAAATGTTTCGGCCGAACATTGATCCTGTAATAATAAGTTAGTATTATAATTAATTATTTTTAATTTATATACAACATAAATACTATTGCAACCTAAACTATAAATAGTACGTAATATTAATTATTATCAGTTTGATTTGATTTTTATAATATGACAACTATTTTGTATATTTTAGATCTAAATTTTTAATAATGTACTTATGGTTAAAAATGTAAAATTCTCAATACCTCTCCAATAGTATTAAAACAATCAATGAGTACAGAGAGGGCACAACACCGGCGCTCGACGTCAGCGATACCAAAGTCTGACCAAAATTTTAAAATATTAAAATCGTGGGCACTTTTCTCAACGCATATTAAACTTCCGACTAATACTTGTTTAAAACACGGGTCAGATGTTAAGTCATCGAACGGGGTCGCACTGTATCTACTAATTAACAAGGACAATATACAAAAATATAATTTGAGATTACACATTTTGTTTTCTGATGTGCAATATTGATTTATTGATGTGTTTAATTTACAACGCGTTAACTGTGTTTGTATGTAGGTATTAGAAAATGTGATTTTATCAAAAAATCAATATTTAACCATGGTCACCAGTAACTAATAGATATCTGATATAATAGTTTAGTTATTAATACAATTTCATGTGATTCAGAGAAATATTGCAATTTTCATTGATTTTAAATTGGTTTTAACAAAAATAGAATTACCATAATTTATTATTTATAACTCAATTAAGAAATTGCAATACTTGATAAATAACTGTTTATAAAATCAATTTTAAAATATAACTAAAAATTAAAAATCTTTTGAGAATTTCTTTACCCATAATACAATAATCAATAAAAAAGAGTTTATAAAATAACATTAAATATTTTAAATGTACAGTCTAAATACATGTTTTCATTATTTTTTGTCATGTTAATTTAGAAAACACTAGTTATTAAACTACTACAAAAACAATTATATTACAAATACTCAAATAAAATGCAATGGACAATATGCCAATATTTATATATAAACACAAATGCATGTTATTTTCATTGTGTTTAATTTTAAATTTACAGTATTATATATTTATTTGTAATTTTATATAAAATTTTTCTATTAACTGTAAAAGTTATTTAATGTTTGTAAATTGATATAGATTTATAGAGATGAAGTATAAAATTGGGTTAATTTTTTCAATTGTTAATTTTTTTATATTTATTAACTATTTTTTATTTATATAAAGAATAAACTACATTTAATATAATATAAATACTTTTAAACTTACATATTAATATATAACCGTATAATTAAAGTTAATAATAATTACAATAAATAATAAATACAATTAATTTATATAATATCTAGGCGGCCGATATCTTTCCTCCAGTCTGAATTTACAATATCTTCCAAACGGAATGAGCTAGCTCAAATCTGTAAACGGTAAAATGATGTCCCATATATCTAATATTTTATCTGAAAAAATTATTCAAATCACGTTACTAGAACATAGAAATTTCTGGGTCATTTCGAAATGCCATATTTTTAACCCAGTTGCAAGGGGGATCGGAAGGGGGCGGGTATGCTATTTGAAAGAGGAGATGTGAAAGTATATTATAGCAAAGTTTCATAAACATCGAATAATTATTTTTTCGTAGCGAACAAAATATTCAAGAAATTTGACACAATATTTGGACAAAAATGGCCCAATTTTGACCTTTTTATACTACATTTTTGTTGTTATAAAAAGTCGACTTCAGTACTATTTTTCCCCATAGACCTAATGTTAATAAAATTGGCAATTTCTCGTAGATGGCTGGCTTAATCTTAACCAAATTTTGTTATAATATACTTTCACATCTCCTCTTTCAAATAGCATACCCGCCCCCTTCCGACCCCCCTTGCAACTGGGCTAAAAATATGGCATTTCGAAATGACC